TTGGTGCAAAACAGTTTGCATTTTAAATCCTTTACTCAGATGAAATGTGTCTTGCCTTGTAGGATTCTAGGATATCGTGTGGATGACTCAGGTGTGGAGGGACAGGACAGCTTTTTGAAGAGGATGTCTGGGATGATCCGACTGTATGCTGCTATAATACAGATGAGATGGCCTCATAGCAACAAACAAGTGGTAATATTTGCTTACATTATATTATGTATAAAAATACTCATTTCATTTTGATGTGGGCTGATCTTTCTCTGTGTAACATGCCTTTACAGCCTGATGTTCATGGACTCAATCACGGCTGGCGCTGGTTGGCACAGATGCTGAACATGGAGCCTCTTGCTGATGTTACTGCAACTCTTCTGTTTGACTTTCTGGAGGTAAAAAAGTCACTTCAGAAAACACTGAAATTCATGTACTCCCCATATTTATCCCCTGTGGTGATGATGCTTTCTTGCCATCTCTGTTTTGGCATATACAGGTTTGTGGAAATGCTCTTTTGAAACAATATCAAGGGCAATTCTGGAAACTTATGCTGCTCATCAAAGACGAATACTTTCCCAGGTACATCCATTACCATGTATATTCCTTGACTATCATTACTAATTTTATAGTGACAGAAATGAACAGATGTTCAAATGAAAACAAATCAACTTCCTTTGCTAAGAATGTGGAGAAACTGTTCCTCAGGAACATAATGCATTCAGTCAGTACTTATTTATGCTTGGAGCCTTTAGTTTCCCACTTAATATTTTATATTTACTGGGAAACTCATATTTCAAAATGGGTGGACTAATTACATTAAGTGATTTAAAAGTTTCTTGATGTTCAGCATTTGCTGCTGCGCTACAAAGACCGTACTGTTGACTTTGGTGCAGTTCCACATGCTGAACATGAAGAACTTTAAAATTCATAGACAAATTTGATGCTCCCAGTCTTATACTACATTAAACTTTTTCGAAACAATGATGGTACTAAGCTTGGTCTTGATCCGCCTCTTCCATTTCTTTCAGGATTGAAGTGGTCACCAGCACTGGTCAAATGGGCTCAGTAACTAGACTTAAGCAGTTTCTGGAGGTAAGAAACCTTTATGACACCACTCTCTTTGTCTTAAATTCAATACTGGGAGTGGCTCATTTATACTTTCACCACAGAATGCTACTACATGCTGGGTAAGATTAAACTAAGATTAAACATTTAGAAATTCATAATTTCTTTGATTTGATATACCCTATAAAGTATTAAAAAGAAAACCAGAGTCAGAAATCAAATAGAAGGATTGTAAAATTTAATCATCTCAGCAGGTCAACAAGTTTACATAAACATAACTTTACACGTGGAGGTGCATTGTGGCCTAAAACTAATATTCAGTGTTTTGTCATGTAATGCTAAGTGTTCTGTAGTGCTGTAGTGCAGCACTGCATCCCTGTATTGTAGAGGCTAATACAGCTGTGATATTTGACTTTCTAGCAGAAACATTAGCTTTCTGGCTTCTGTTTAAAAAAAAATAAATAAATTGTAAACACCCTGAACTCAAGTATCAGCACTAAAGCACTTGTAGTGTTTCAGAAGATCCCCCCTCTGTCAAGGTAAATCATCAGAATGGGTTTTTTCTAGCCCTTACCAGGGATTCTCATTCTATAGACTATTGCGAAACTGCTGTAAGAGGTGAGTAGGCCATTTTATGTGTAGCATTTTGGCCAGAGTGCCCCTTTTAAAAGCTTAAAAAAAGTTTAAAAATAGTATAAAAAAAGAAATCAGCAGACGAGAGCTTGTGCGCAAGAGAGATGCAAGGTAGAAGTAAGTAACTCAACACAGTATATGAATGTAAAGAATGTATGCAAATAAACAGTAATTGTGCAGTAAAATGTGCAGAAGTGTGTTCCATAGGGGATGGTATTCAGGTGCCTAGACTTTTGCATTTAACCATAAATAAACAGAAAGTCAAAGTTTTATTAATCACATGTACAATATGCCAAGGAAATCTGTACATTAAAATGCTTCAGATGACACTCAGACAACACAATTTATACAGAGGAGAATAAAACAATTTATAAAAAACTATACATACATAAATACAACTTAATCAACTACTAATCTGGCTAATAATGAAGACAAATGTGGGGACAAATGTATAGGTCTGAAGCTGACATAACTATTGTAGTGCAAAGAGAGAGGACTATCTCCAAATAGCATTACAATATAAATATGCGTTAAAACATTTACATGCAGGATAAGCAGTGACAGTGTATGTATAGCAGTGTCTGTAACTATAAAGTATCATGAAGAACAAAAATTGTCCATGAATTGGCAAGTGAAAAAAAGTGACAGGTAAGGAGAAAAGCAGCAATGACCGTACAGTACGTAGGTATATTATACACACCTGCGTACATTACATAGATAATGTCATTGGTTACGTTCTGTCCACAAATTTAGTTTTCATCATATATATCCTAACAACATCTGCAACAGTCACTCTTCAGTCAGGCCTATTGCCTTGAGTAATTTCAACAAATTCAGCTTTCATCCAGTTTTACAGTGATGGAAGTAACGAGTTCGACTTCTATAGGTCACACTGTCACATCTGATAAGATAGCCTAGAGATGTGAGTAGGCAAGTCCTTATCTCATATTACAAGGAACAGTCACCTTCCAAGCACCATGATGACTGTGAAGAGAAGAAACACCACGTAAACATAGCACAGGCCTCACAGAGACACAGAGCCAGATGAATATATTCTTAAAAAAAAATCTGTACTATAAAGATGTAAATTTGATTACAAGGGTTAAACTGTTCTGTGCCTTTTTACTAATATACTGTTGTTCACAAGGTGTCTGGCTTTATGGAACATGTACCATACTAATGTTTCCCTTTCTTTCTGGGTTAGAACGCTTTACGAAACAAGCAGATAGATCCACCCAAAGGACAACTGACCTCAGCTTTCTGGAGATCCTGATGGTTGGACTTGACTATATTTAGTCCCAACACTATACTTCATGGAACATGATGAATCTGTACATGCTGTTCACATTCAGCCTTCATCCTATGTATGATTTACATAAAATAAGGCATGGCTTGAAAAATGAAGCTCTGTTTAGGCATATTTGGTAGCAGGATCAAATTATGGATCTTGCCCCTTGATAGGCATATTCTAGATCAGTTTTATTTTTTCATTTTGTTTTGTATATGAAAGCTTTTTTAAATTATTTCTGTCTGAGTTTGCTTTTATTTTTATTTTTTTTTATTCAGAGCCAGGGCCCTTTAATTGCTGTTATGTTTGGAGGAAGCCATCAGTTTTTAAACTAATCTGATCTGACAAAGTTTTTAGTTTGTGGACACCGAATGTGCTCATGTAATTATGAATCATGGTGTGAGCCTCACTGTAGGATGTTGTCGCTGATGGAATGTGGAGCCTCTTTGTATGCGCTCATGGAGAAATTAATTGTACATCCATGTGTATATCTATAGTGATTAAACGTGTACAAAGAGGACAAACTTTATTCTATTGTGTCACTCTTGTTTTATGCAGATGTAACCAAGGAGGGGGGGCTGTAAGGGAACAATATCTGTTGTGATGTTTGGAGAAATTTAAAGGGCACATATCGTGCAAAAGCAAATGTTTCTGTGAATTGTTTTAATAAGAGTTTGATGTAGTATTTTTGATTTTTTTTATGTATTCTGTGTTCTGAAAAGTTTACAAGAAAAGTCATTGAGTGTTTTAACGTGAAATGCCCCATTCTAGTGAAGAATTGCTCACAGTGGTGGTGATGGGAACCAGATGTCTGAATAATACCTCTAAAAGGTACCTCACTGAAAGTTACATGAAATAATTGAGTACTCTGCCTGATGCCTGAGACATTGTTTTTCGATAACTTTGTGATGAGGTTTGGCCTAAAATGCCTTTTTATACATATTCATGTGAGATGGATACATCATCATTGTAAGGCAAAATAGTCCCCAAAGAAAACGGTTCTCAGATTTACCACTATTTTACCATTCACCACAACTGAAAATAAATCCAAATCAGAAAGTTTCTCTACAATGCATTATTGTATATCATACTTAGTTAACGTTTCAACAACTAAATTATGTAGAAATTTTGAAAAAAAAAATCGTGGAATTCTCCTTTAAAGTCACAGTAACAAAAACTGAAGGATATAGGTTGCAAAATAGTAATATAAAAAGTAATTATGGCCGTTTTTGGTACATAAACCCACACAAATCTCATAAGTGGGCCTCAGTGGAAAAAGTACGGTTGAAATGTAGGATGTGTGCCCTTTAATGCTAAACTTTGGTTGCAAAGACACACAAAGTAGGGGCGGGCGGATTAATATTGAAATATTGATGCTTCTGATCCTGACAGTTTTTTTTTCTTTTTTGAGAATCAATCCTCACGTGAAAATATTGATACTAGATGTTTTCTGTAAGCAGTAAAGTTAATATATTTTTATTAAACTTATGGTACAAATGTGTCTTTGAAAAAAGTGACAATGTGTAGAACAGGGACTACTTTTCCTTCCGCCCTCTCCTGCCCACGCATACTGGCACAGACAGGCATACGAGACGCAGTCAGCGCGCTTTAATCACATTTTTCATATTTTCTTTGTGTAGCAGAAAGGTGCTATACACCGATCATCCATAACATTAAAACCACCTTGTATCTTGACTCATTGTCCGTTTTATCAGCTTCACTTACCATATAGGTGCACTTTGTAGTTCTACAATTACAGACTGTAGTCCATCTGTTTCTCTGCATAGTGTACTTAGCCCCTTTTACCCTGTTCTTAAACGGTCAGGACCATATATATATATATATGTGTGTGTGTGTGTATTACATTTTTTCTGTGTTTCACTGTAGAAATCATAAAGAATCCCATTCTCTCTTTTCAAAAAAAGTCTTAAAGTATCAGTGTCAGTATCGGGATATTAAACTCGGGAGAGCGAGAATAAAGTCCTCCCACCTTTAGGCGGCAATATTTCATTCGAGTTTTTTTTCCTTGCTCTTAACTGTCCGGCAGTTTGGGCCGGGTGGCGCTACACGACCACCGTTTCTGTTCTCATTTCTTATGCGAATCAGTTCGTATCTGTTTCCTGTATTTCATTAATTTTCACAGAGGTTTAATGAAACTCTTTGTCTGGTGGCTCAGAGACGCCCCCTCTCTCTTTCTCTGCAGTTTCCTGGTAAACAAAGCGCGGACACTCTGCCACCACACGGTCTGAGTCGACCGACTTCAGCGACCGTCTAAAGACATGCTCTCAGTGAGGAGACCATTCACAGCAGACCACTTAATAAAGTTGCACGCGGCGCTCTGGATCGTCCCGCTAGCCGCAGTGTTGTCTCAGAAGGCGGGTTTTTGCCGAGGCTGCTCCAGCTCGGAGGGTTTGCTCCTGTGCAGGTCCTGCGGTCATGAGGTGGCTTTGGAGAAAGACCTGAGTTTCGTCCCGAGTCGCCTGGCGCTCTCTCACCGGAACAACACCCGTGATCGGAGAGCGGAGGATCACCGTGCAGCTCTTCGAAAACCCTCAAGGATTTCAGTTCGAGGTGATCACGTTTAAAAAGGCAGACGTGTTGAAGCACTGGCCGGCGGATAAACACTTCACCTGGTTTCCAGGTTTTTCCTGGACTGTAGCCACCTGTCCGCGATGCAAAACACACCTAGGTGGGCTGAGTATTGAAACATTAACGGGTTATTAAACTGATGACTCTTTGAATGTATTTATTTACATATTGTATGCTGAGTGGCACATTCTACACTCTTAAACAAAATGGTTCTTTATTAAAGGGAACAGTCCTATTTAGAACCATGAGTTCCATTTCATGCTTAAATAGCCCTTTGCATGGTGAAATGGTTCTTCAGATTGATGGAGAATGATGTTGTATAATGGTGTTGTATAATGTTATTTTGTTGTTAGAACTCTTCCATTGCTAAATAGAACAATTTTTTAAAAGGTTCTATATAGAACCATATATTACATTCTCCATCTATCTGAGGAACCATTTCACCATGCAAAGAACTATTTAAGCATGAAATGGTTGTATATAGATCTATTCCCTTTACTAAAGAACACTTGAATAATAATTTTTACAGTATAGCATCACACATGCTTTGTTACATCTGGGGAAAAAAAAGGGGAAAACCATATTCAAGTATAGCTTTCTAGGAACTCCATTATCGAAATGCATGTAATGTAACTGAGAAAAGTCCTGTATGATTTATTTGTTCTAAAACCATCTTTGTGTCTTTTCAGGCTGGGCGTTTCAACCGAGCGACTGGCCTCAGACAGTGACGAGACAAGACTTTGAGAACTCAGATCAAACTTTTGTAGCACTCATTGTTCAGAGATTACTGCAGGAACAGTTTGCATCCAGCCTCCTGATGACTCCAAACTCTTTCAGAAGTTGACTAATCAAACTTTCAAAGTTTTAATCTTGAACAATGTTACTCTTTCTGACCAAAGGGCTTAATGAAAATAGAAAAGCTTAAAAAGTCAATTTGACAGGAAGGCAGAAAATGCACTCTGAACAGGGTCAGACTGGACCCCCCCTCAAAAAACAAAAAAACAAAAGATAAGTCTTTTTTCTGTACAAAGTGTTGCTTTTTTTTCACCTTAGCTATTACAGTTGGAAAAGTCTCAAACATGGTGTTCACATTAAGTTTTATTTTAAACAAAGCAAACTCAACAGCTAATTTTCTCCTGTGAGAAGTATAAGGTTAGTAGAACATACACCACACAAAACTTAACCAAGGCAGTGGGGGGCCAAAATTTACAAGCATGATAATTTTTTTAGGGTTTTTTTTTTTTGGATTTTATTTTTTTTCTTTATCAAAAATGTCATTTCAAATCTGATGAATGTCTGTAAAACAAGACAAAATTTAAAAAAAGGACTCCAAATGGTGTCCAAGTACCCTCTTTCCTCCCTCAGCCCTCACTGAGACTTAGCCCTCCTGAACTGACAAAGGTTACAGAGGGGACAGGAATGAGCTTGTGATTAATCTGTTGCTGAAACCACAACCCAGAGGAAAAACAAAACAAAAAGAGAGTAATAAAATAAAATTAATCATTAACAGGTTGTAACGCCATGAGTAAAGTAACAAAGCCGTGAAGGAGGATGCTAGAACTAGCACATCACTACGCACCATGGCTTTTGTTCATTTAACCACACAAACAGGAAGAATTATGCATATACATTTATATATATATAAAAAAAAAAAGAAATTGCTATTTGCAAGTCTACTTCCAGACAGCGTGCTGCTGATACTACAGTGTGTTTTGTTTTTTTTTTACCTCGAAATGTACTTGGGAATTGAGATGTTAAATGCCACATTGGCAGTATTTTGCAGTCAGTTTATTGTGAGAGTCTGTTCTTGGGGGTAGGGGGATGTCAACATGGCACTGTCAGGATAAAGGACAGGAGATGGAGCACAAAATAAACAACTGAGGAGGGGAAGGGAAAAAAAATTATCATCTTGCTCCCAAAAAATTCGCCAAAGAAGCAGGTGGGTTGTGGGGGGACAGGGCCAGGTAAAGATGGATTATGCTCAATGTTTTCCTCTTCAGTCATCCTCTCCATCATCATCCTGCAATGAGGTGAAGGGCATTAAGATTTTAAAGTACCATAACCCTTTTCAAAAGCATAATTTATAAAATTCAGATTACAAATTACACCACATAGCTATTAAGTGCAGGATTTCAGGGTCAGTGCTTCACAGCTTTAAAACAGTATTACAGATAAATGAAAATCTCAGTCCAATCTAAAATTACCTCCCCATCATCGTCCTCCTCCTCTCCATCTTCCTCCCCCTCTTCATCTATGTCCTCCAGACCCTCCTCATCCTCGTCCTCATCTTCCCCCTCACCTTCTTCATCTTCCATGTCTGGGACCTGCAGGCAAAGTAAGATAGTGTTTTCTCATTCAGTTGACAAGAACCGTCTCGCTTATTTTTACACAAAATTAACAAACCTACAGACTCAGAACATGAATAGTAGCAAAACTAGCAACGCTCACCAGGTAGTACTGCAGGGGGTTGGGCCAGATGTCGTCCTTTATAACCTCACCCAGTTCATCTGCTCCTGAATCAGAGTGGTCGGTAAACCAAGTGAAAAAGCTCTCTGGCTCTTCATGTTGCCTCTTCTTGCCTGCTTTACTCTGAGTTTGGCTGGGGCGATTTGTGAGGTCCTTCAGGGGAACAAGGAATTATATTCTTAACACCACATATGTAGTATTTGAGAGTAAGTAAGGTAAAACAGCTTTAAACTATGGCTATGGCAATAAACGCCACTCGCACCTTTCCTGGTTTCCATTTGATCTCTGTTGACTTTGGGGTTGGGTCTCCACTTTCATTCAGGTGAATTTCTTTGGAAAGGACTTTGTTTTCAAAATACATGTTTTCGTCAAAGTACTGCAAAACAAAAGCAATAAACAGCAAATTAAGATTAAGGAATGGTCATTCAGATTCATTAGATCCAAAGCCAAAATTAAACAGGAAACTAGACTGAATTATCAAAAACTACACTTTGACAGATGTGTAATACTTACAAAATCTATTCTGTAGCCTGATTTTATGTCTTCAAACTCTGTTACTTCCACCCTGGTCAGATAGTGAAGTGCCTCTTCATCTTCCTCACCAAGCAGAGCAGAGACTAGTGACAGAGGGCAGAAAGTTGAGATTTTGTTTCTATGATTAATCAACTTCAGCTTGAGGTACGTACGAATATTACAGGACATTACATTACATGGACATTATAGCCTTTAAGGTCTATGATTATTGCTTGCTTACCTTGTGGATGGTTCACAAATGTAGTAACCCAAAAGTTGGGAATTTTGGCAATGAGTTCTGACCTCTTCTGAAAGAACGGCTGGCGAAGCTTGTTGTATTTCTGCTCAACTTTGAGGATCTCCTCGCTGGCCTGTTCATTCAGTCTACAATGGGCAATTTAAATGTTAGCAAAACAGGCGTTTTACATACACAGTGTGTAACATTTACACATCAAATAAACGTGACTTGCCTGTCAATTTCATTCTGTACTTCATCAATGTGCTCGATGGCTTCCTGTTGCTCTTTTTCTAAAGATGCAAAAAGAGATGAACAAAGTTATAACAAAAGGAAAAGTACAGATTGAGATTATCTTTCCTTCAGTTACCTCATAACAACAACAATAATAATAATAATGATAATAATAATAATTCTTCATGTTTATTCATCTAAACCAATATACATTTCCACAACGATTGTCAGCAGCTACACTACAAGCAGTCAAAGTTAACGTTAAAGTTGCAAAGAGAGGTTAACTTACTAACTCGCATCCCGCAGTCACGGTCACAAAGACTTTTTTCGCAATTTTGGCCTTCACTGCGTTTCTCTGGGCACAAACAGGCTAACAAACTAACGAATATGACTCGTTAAGGATGTTCTCGACTGAAAACAGCTGTCCTGCTGTCTGTCCGCTCTGTGAGGAGAGCTGAGTGCGGAGCTGAGACGCCGCTTCCTGCTCCTCAGGCCGCGTGGTTTAAATGTGCGGAGCCTCACTCAGCTCTCCTGCCCCTGTACTCTCTTCAGCGGCTTTTCAGAACAATGTTCCGCAGGCCCGGTCCCCCACCCGCTCACACACGACCACCAGAATACACCGACAGAAGTCGGGGCTGTTTTAGAGCGGACTGAGGATTATTCCCTCCCTCATCTAAGCGCATAAACGACAATTAGCACGCAAAGCTAGCTAAGCTGTGTACATCATGGCGGAGACGGCGCTAGCCCACAACAACAATAAAGTAGCGCAGCGCCTCGATGATTCATTCAGCACAGCGCGCCTTTCTTTAGCTCCGGCCTCTGGCCGAACAGCGCGGTGGAACCACAACACGACGGGCCGCGGTCCCTGCAGCGCCAGAGAGTCGTGCAAATCGAAATTAACAAGTCATGCACAGGACACACATCACCATTGTAGCGGCGCCGTTAGCTTGTAGCGGCTAGCCAACATGGCCTCCGCCGCCGGTGCCTTCCTCCGCTCAGGAGCGCTCACAGCATCCAACCAGGCGGCGACTGCAGCCAATCATAACCTCATACAGCACGCGGCGAGCGGGGTAAAAATCACACACAGTCCGCGGCCCTGCGTGTGTGAGCGAGCGGGCGCACAAACCTTCGGGAAAGTAGAAAGAGAAAGTGAAAAATGGCGATGCTGAGCGAGGCCCTCGCTCCTTACCAGAGGTCTCGTCCGCTCCGTCGTGGTTCGAGTTCAGCTCCTTTTTACTCACTTTGGCCGCCGAGGCAGACATGATGCCGCTGTCTCACCAAAAGTACTTTCGGCGAAGACTCACCAAAACTTCTATGAGGTAGAGAAAGCCTCCTTTTAACGGGGAAAGTAGCGCGCCGAAATGTGCTGCGCTCCTCCGCACAACTTACAGCGAGGAAACGCGAATACACACTCACACACACACACACGCAAGCGCGCGCACACAATTGTAGCAGCAGACACACTAAGCGACTACACTCACGCGCTCTCTTTCGGAGAGAACGCGCCCCGCACACAAGCCGAACATAAGCCCCGCCCCTTTCCAGAACAACCTACGGAAATCGGCGCTCGCGCTTCGTCTCTGCAGCCTGATTGGCGCGCGCCACGGATTGACAGCTGTGTGGAACTCCCACGAAAAGGGCGGGATTCGACGGGAACGAGAACATTTTAATGTCCGAGTTTATTTTACACAGCGGTGACAAACAACTTTTTTATATAAGGATGAAAATAATTTAATTACATCATTTGTCTGGATCAGTGGTGTCCAAACTTTTCATCACTGCAAAACAGTGCAGTGTTTGTAGTGGGCCGAGGGCCAAAAAGACAACAAAACATAAAAATGAAGGTGTTTTAAATCGAGTTTTTTAAAATGTAGACATATTTTATAACATTATACTATATTTTGTTAGTAGAACATGTCAAACATGACAATTCTTAAAGGAAAAAAGATTTTAATAAATTAAATATAGTATCAAAAAGTGTTCTCTCGTTGAATTGGGGGGGCTTCCTGTGGGCCACACTTAAGCAGCCCTGGGGGCTATTTCACAGGGCAAGTTTTCTTTATCCAGATAACTTAAGCCCAAAGTTCAGGATTGTCCAATATGAATGTCCCTCAGTCCTTATGTTATTGCATATGCTTGACTTTGGGCTTAAGCTCTCTGGCTAATTGAGAAATCTTGCTTGGTGAAATACCCCTTGAACCAGATTTTAAACAAACTGTCATATGGTCTTCACTCCTAATGTTAACATGATTATGGGATCTTGGGGTATTTCACAAAGCAAGATTTCTCAGTTAAAGGGAAAATTTAATCTCTAAGTGAAGATTGTCCAATAGGAATATCTCTTACCTCTTCTCCTAATGGACAGATTTACCTTTGAACTTCATGTATGTGGTTAACTGAGAAACCCTATTTTGGGAAATACTCCTGTTATTGTAATATTATGGAATTTAAATGAACACAAGTTATTGCGTGGAAGCCATTTTGTTTATAGAGGTTTCATGGCTTTACGAACGGTGGGAACTTCATGAACAATCTGACTTTTCTTATCAGATTGGTATCAAGCCAGTCACCAAAGTGTGGTGACTCACTAAGTCAGCAAGTGTAAAATCTTTGGATAACTTGCAGCTCCATCCTAATATTCACTGGTCTAGCCTCCCTATTGGCAAAAGACTGACATTTTATTCTCATTCATCAATTTCTCAAAGAAAAATTCCACTTAAATGTATTTGAAACCAGGGCTTAGGTGTGGTAAACTGGACTCACAGTCCATTTGGCTGTAAAAAGGCAGCTAAAGGCAGCGTATGGGCTGTAATGTAGGAATAGTAGGACACTTTTGTAAAAGTGTAAACATATTTTATTTGGTGAAGCCTAAAAATAAGGCCAATAATGTCAATTTACAGTACAATTTCAAAGAATCAGATCAGGGTGCATCTTGCAATGGTGTACTATATCGTTCCTGGCTTCTGAGTGGCTCATTAGTCGGATACAACTGGAAGCTCACTCTCCTTTGCTGAGCGATTCAGTGGCATGTACTGATTTGATTGAGGGGTCTGCATAACGTGAAGCACTGATGGCCATAGGATAATAGGAATAGTACATCAAACTGCTATTTTAAAGAGTCCTGCATCTTTGTCACACGGCACCGTTACTCCTTTTCGAGTGCACTCTCTCCCACGCCACAGTCCGACAGACACAGAAAAAGTCCCACAGGTTGCAGATCACGCCTCTATCAAAGGGGTTCTCTTCAGAGTCGCAGGTTTTGAGGTAGGAGATACGGTGGCGTGACATAAACTCCCAGGTGGTAGTGTTAATGGCTGCTAGGTAAAGGTGTATGCACAGCAGCAGCAGCACAACCACAGAAAATATTCCCGTCACAGCAAGGGCTCCAAGCAGGAAACCATTCTGAATGAACCACTGCTGCCAGGTGGGTGCAAAGGTGATGCCAGACCTGAGAGGTAAAAATAAAGAAATCATCAGCTTAACAGGCTTAACTTCAGAAAATAAAAAACAGTATTTATTATTAGTAGAAAAATATACTTAGGGATTGCACAATGTATCTGTGACCAATATATCAGTGGATAAAAGGGAAAATTTAGGAATTATTAGTCAATATTGGAATTACAGCTAAAAACATACAGCTGACAATAAAGTGCCCTGTTTTTAGCTTGCACACACAGTAATGGGGAATTCCACCGATTTTTCTAAATTTCTGCATAATTAATTCTGCATAAATAGGAACCAGACGTCTGAAGCTACAAGCTAAAAGTCACTTCACAGTAAGCTATTACATGAAATGGTTACAAAAACATGACCTAATGCCTAATACATTGTTGTATGAGAGGTTTACGATAAGGTTTTGGCCTACATTCCTAAATGCTATAGCAATTTAAAATTCTTGCAATAACTTGTAATCATTTTGAATACAGAATATTCAATATAGTTATAGAAAAAATAACAGTTGATGTAAATGAAATACAAATGTTTGTCTCTAATAAAGTTAATATTAATCAATATAGCACTGATAGAACTTATATATCATTTCCAACAATACATATCATTAAAAAATGAAATTTTGCCAAGAAGATCTATAATGTGTTTTTGCAGCCAAACCCTTCATATATATATATATATATTGCATAGTAAATAAAATGGCTGGATTTGTGTGGTTCAATTCACCACCACCGTAAGGAAACCTCAGTCTGTAACTTTCTTCCTAATGTACCATCTCACATCAAACCACTCTTAAATCTTTTGTTTATATATCAATGATAGAGTTACACAGAAATTTCAAAACCAGTGGAATTCCACTTTGTAGCTCCTAGTGAACATTTACATTCTTTTTAACTCACGGAAATGGGTAGCATAGTGGACAACATCATGGCCACGCACAGTACAACAAAGGTTTGATTCCTGGTCCAGGCAGGAACAACATTGTTGAAACAATGCCTTTGTGCAAGACTTCTAATGTTGTGTTCACCTACCACTAAATAATGTCAATTAATTACATAAATTATTTAAATATTTTCAATAATGATTTAGCAATGTCTTATTTAGCTATGCCATGGCTATGTAGATAACTCAAAAATATATTCATCAAATTATACACACCTCATATCTGAAGTAATGTGTTTTTTTGTGTTGTTTGCATTGCGTTGAAAATGAATAAATGGGCAGGATGTGTTCAAGTGCAAAAATACATATTTTGCTAGTCACAAAGCAAGCAAGCACTGACACTGGGTACACTACTATCCATTTTGAAAAGGAAAAGAAGCACAGAGAGTTTCAACACCTCAATCAGGAACTGGAATTGTATGAGAGTTTTCACATATAACTCAGGTGTCCATAGCATAGTCTAAATCCCATTTGAGCTGGTTTTAGGGATGCTAACATCATCTGTGACAAAGCAAACACCATCCGTGACAAAGGCAAACTAATCTTCTTTGACGAAAAGTTTGTGAAAAGTTCTAGTTGCTGGGACACAGCAAATCTGCCATCTTGGTTGTTGCCATGCCAACCCTAAAGACCACAGCGATTGGTTAGTGAGCTCATGTTGGTTGTGAAAGTTTGCAAAAATCAAATAAAGGCTAAATAATCAAGTTTGCTGTGTAGAATATAATCCATTATACATTTGTGCGTACTCATTTATTGACCAAACACTGCACCCTGTTTTTAACGGCCTTTACACTCAGTGGCCCATATTTGTCAAGCATCTCAGAGTAAAAATACTGATCTAAAGTCAGGTATTATCAGTCTATCTAGAATGCACTGTAAAAGGCATTAACTGATCCAGATCAGTATTCATACTCTGAGAACTTCAATAAATATGGGCCACTGAACCTCATATATATAGACTGTACTGTAAACTTGTTTAAAAACGTAGAATTATCAGTTACTGGTATTCATACTGGGCCACAACAAGGTGTTACTTATCAGTTATTGTAATCTGCCCAGAATTTCTATATAATTGCACTCCTATAAATTACATACTTGCATTTGTGTGTGGCATTTAAACTCCTACTGTAATGAAAAGCCTCACTTGGATGCTCCTATAAATTTAATGAATAATCGATCATTTAATTCCTCTCAAACATCTGCCATGATTTGCAATTAGCTTCATGAGTGTCAGCCCTCAGATGAACACTTAACCTGTTCCTTGAATATCTAATCCACACTCATATTGAATCCCTAACCTACCATGTTCTCATATCTAACACCCTCTGACAATAGTGGCAATAGTCTACATATGTATGTGTATGTGTGCATGTGTAAATATGCATTCATGTAAAACTCAATAAAATGTCATTCACAAATCCACATCCATCCATCAGATCTTTTTCTCTGAAAATGTCCTGAAAATTGTTCACTGTCTGATTTCATGGATCTCTCCTCTGTATGATCTGCATTCCTCTGTTCAATATGACAGTTCCTATGAGTTGCATCTCAATTCCTCTCTCTGTTTGGGTTTGAGTCTTGGTTCCTTCTCAATGTTTCTTCCCCAGACTCTCAGGGACTTTTTCCTGCCACCATCACATTCGCCTTTCTCATTAGGGGTATTTGTATAGAATAAAACAGCATTTATACACATACAACAAAACTGAATTAAATACTCACCAAGCAATTTGAAGTCCCCAGGACACAGCTAGTAATTGAACGCACAAATAGAGCAAGAACCATCTGTGATTCCTCTCTCCAACACAGTTCTCTATCCACGGGCAGTGATGATCGTAGCGTCTGACACACCGCTTACATTCCTTGCAGTGTCTCGCCCTCATTGGTTGCTGTTTGAGATAAGGAAACAATTGTAAAAACGATCTCATCAAATTGATTTCATGATACACTACTTGACTAAAGGTTTGTAGAAACCCCTTCCAAATGGTGAATTTAGTAACGTAAAGTGCACTCATCGCTGACACAGGAGCTCAGCTGCTTAAATAATATCCATAGAAAAGCACTGACAACAGAACAGGATGCTCTGCAGCAGCCACACATGAGCCTAAGTTCATTGTGCCCAATGCCAACCATTAGCTAGAGGGGTATAAAGACCCCCAGCATTTGGCTGTGGAGCAGCGAAACTGTTCTGTGGAGTGATGGAGCTCCATCTAATACCTTTGGGATGAGTTAGAGTAGTTTTTGTGATCCAGAAACTTCCTATTAATACTATATATAGGCAGGTGTCTACAAACTTTTGGATATGTTTTGTAACTATACATTAATAAACAAATGGTGAAGGTTACTCTACAAGCAGACAATTAGACAAAGCAGATAAATCTGTTGAATACCATTAAAAAACAGTAACCACAGCGTCTCCGGCCCTGGGAGCTCTCCCTGTGTGGTATCATTTTCTCCAATTCTCCATCATCCTCTATAGTAGACTGCAAGACACGAAAGCATACATTACTCAGCACAATAAAGTTGGGAAGATTTTTATTTTTATTTTTTTTTGTAAATGTGATATTTTTCTCAAATTACCTGAGCGTTACTGTCAGAGAGAACAAAACCTGGATCCATGAGTGATACCGTGAAATACATCATCACTGAAAGAAGGACAACCGAGCCAAACAGTACTGGCTGCAGAAGCTCTCCTCTTTCTTCACATTTTCGAAGGTCTGTCAAAACGGAGAATGACTTTTTTATTTTAACGAGTTAGAAAGCCCACCGATCACTATTAGTCTCTATTAATCAATAGTACTCTAGTTAGGCTCTGTACATTACCTGTATTATGAAGAAAGAGAATCAAAGTTGTGAGCCAGGTGAGGATAATGTGAGTTGTTCGCACTAAACAGCCAGACCTGACCAGTCGCATGTCGACAAAGCCAGTAAGTTAAGGTGTATATAAAATAACGGAGCACGGTGGACTTCAGTCAGCCTTAACACTAACAACAACGACCATAACGTTTCACGAACTCAATTTTAACCGTGTAAACACAACAGAGGCGCAAATGAAATGCATCTCCCAATATTACGCCTTCAGACATGAGTAAAGTTTTATTACAAAAATTATTTAATAACAATACTTTTTTCCTCCCACATTATCCTGAGCACTTGTACTTCTTCGAGACTGATCGTTTTGTTTTGAACAATGGCTGTCATTGGTTTTGAAAGATTGGCGTTTCCGGGATCGCCCTTGAATTTCAAAATAAAAGTTGACTAAACTACATATTTACGCATGCACTGTAATAGGAGACAGAATAAGGGTTTGGATTTGCGGTGCTGACGATTTAAAATTTCAGGAACGGTAGAGAAGCTGCCATCCACTTTTAAATAATATGTGCTGTTTTTAGCCTCGGCTGATTATAAAGTAGCTAGCTAAAGTATCTGGCTGTTCTATGCATTTCAGCTGAGTGAACTGTAGGAGGCGCTGTGTAATAACATATTCATCGCAACAGACATTTGTAATAAACGACCTATTTACTAAGTGTGAGAACATTTTGGTAGAAATGCATAGCAGCCCATTCCCTTCAACACAATTAGATAACCTTTTTGAAGACAAATCTTGTCATGTGTACTGGACCAGGATTAGCCTTACATTATAAATATTAATGTTTTGACATGAGCAATCATCCATGTTAATTAAAAAAAATTCTCAGCCTAAAAAGCTGGACAAAAAGACACAAAATGCTCAGGTTACAAAATAGAAACATTTTATTGGTTGTTCAAGTATTTAACAGGCATTCTCACTGACATTTTACACATTCACACTCACTTTTCACAAAATCTAAGTTTACCCAGTCTCATTGTTAATGTCAAAAAGGCCTGAATCGTACTCATGACTTCTTCAGCAGGTAGAGTGAGAGTATAAAAGTGGGAAACATAAATAGACAAGTGTTTACTGAATTAAACTTCAGACCTTTATAAAAATAAAAAGAAAACCACTGAACATGTTGTAGTGCCTTCAATCAGTGTTACTCATGTGCTACTCCAATGAAGCACATGCTGATTCCCTCTCATGTTCACATCCAAGAAATGAGAACAAACCAATTAACTTTCAAAAGCAACCACCACAACTACCTGACTGGTGTATAGGCTAATTTTGTGCTAACCTTTTTAATACTGGTCAACTGTCATGCACAGAACCCCACCATTAATGCAATACTGAGTGTTTTTGAACAAAAATGGTCCCTAACAATTTTTTAAAACCCTGATACCAAGTGATTAGTGAATTGCCATTCTTCATGAACACATTCATTCAAAAGTGACAAGCAATTAAAGTGCATTCATTTTCCAATCAAACTTACAAGACAGGGTACATAGATAGAGCCAGAAATTAAGGGAGGTTTTCTTTGCACATCACATAGGCTTATGCAAAAGCTAAGACTAATGCATAATTGGTACAGCTGTATCCAGTTACCATTAAAACCCATAAATGGGAATGCTGAAAATAAGCACACTGAACTTATTCTGAATCTGGACTCTGAATAGCATAATTCCAGTCAAGCACCACAAACATAAATAAATGGTTCATCTACGTACATAAATACATCACGACATTACTTTAGTCATTAATTAGCAGCATTAGGAGTACATGCAATATTAATTCAACCTGCTATTAACTTAAAAAAGCAAACAAAAAACAAAAAAACAGGATGTCTTGTAGTGTTGTGTGACAAATAAATTATCCTTCACTGTCCTTTGGACACTATACTGCAAAAAAGGGTAATATAATAGTGAATATCACAGTCTGCTTTGCTTTGAATCATACTGACATACAATTGTTTATGATAAAGGTGAGCATAATCCCCCCTCATTACTCCAGTGGCACTTTGTAAAAGGCACTCAGCCCATTATCTCTGCAATAGCTTTCATCCAGCAAGCAGCCAAAAACCTGGTCCCTGATTTCAGATTTGGACAACATTTACTTAAGTGATCTATCAAACTTATCAAAGCATTTTAAATAACATAACAGTTCATTTTATCCACCTTGGGTGTCTTCCGTCTGCAAACACAGCTTGTAGCCCTTGTCACATTCACAGAATGAGATAGCTTCTTCACAGTCTCAGGTTCACAGCCCTGAGATTTCTGCCCACTAACTGTTCCAGCTCACAGCCTCTTCTTCTCCTTGTGAAGGCATTATTACTTATGGTTTTAACCTTATTCCAAAGCATAGTCCTTTCATTTTATCTTGACTGTACACCCAGTGTGGATTTAATGTGTTCGTACACCACATAGCTGATGCTTACAGCAGGGATGACCTTCATGAAATTAGGAGTCATGCCCCTGTAGAGGCCTGAAGGACCTTCAGTCTTCACAATCTGTTTGAAAAGCCCGGACATGGTGACCTGTGGAGTGCCCTCCACTGTAGCTGCATTGCCAAAGAGAGAAGATAAGAGTAAGGATCAATTCAAAACACAATTTCCCTGCAGAAAATAATGAATAATGCACAGAACTGAGATGTATTCAATCAAATGAATCCAAATTCATTTTAAACAAACAAAAAATACCTTGTGCTTGCATGCGTGTTCGTACTAGAGCCAGGGGGTAGCTGGCTAGCTGGCCACATGTGCTGGAGAGTGTACCACAAGCCAGAAGAACAAAAACACCAGGATCTGCACTGTCTCTACCGTACCGCTGCAACCAGGTGTTCTTCAGAGTCTGGGAAAGGGGGTGGGGGTGTGTGGGGGATTAGGGGATTTATTTATTTATTAATAAATAATAAAACATTGTATGACAAGATGAACTTAATTTTTTTTAAATACTATTTTTGGATAAGTCATCTTATAGACATCATCCTTCAATAGACAGACCAAATTTTCAAATTCACATCTTCCAACTCACCTCATAAACTGCCAAATCGATGCCAGCATAAGGGACGATGCCTAACATGTTAGGTACATAGCCTTTGTAAAAGGCTGCCACTCCCTCCTTCTTCAGGATCTGCCTGGCACAGTCTGAGATGCCTGAATACTGCCCACTCTTTCTCAAAGCTAGGCGGGTTTTGAGAACCTACAGGGGGAAGAGATAAAGAGACAACAGATGTTAAGACTGCTAGATTAGTTATAAGCACAGAGTTTGCCTTGAAAGGGTGACTAACAGAAGCTCACCTCCATGGGGTAGATGGTGCTCTGGGCAATGACCCCTGCCAGAGAGCCAGCCACAAAGCGCTCTGTGATCCCCAAAGTCTCATTACTACTGCCCATTAGACGCTTGATCTATCAAAAAAAAGAAACTGAAGTTAGTACAGATTCAACAAGCCAGAGTGTTACTGAAATATGACCACTGAAATAAATGGTTAGTTGGGTTGTCTACTGGTAAAGTACCTGCTCATAAGCCATGAACTTGAGGGCAGACTCAGGGGCAATTTTGAGGACATTAATGCCGTTTCCTCTCCACAATGACCTCACACCTCCCTCCTTGATCATCTGGGTAAGCCCATTCATGATACACATGTTGTTGCTACGAGAACCATGCACCTGAAATAAACAAGCCAAGATTTAATTACTATTATTATTATTATTACTATTATTATTTATTTTATCCCCCCCCTCCAGATTCACAGCAATGTGTAAAGAACAACAAGATTAGGTAAAATACTTCATATTCATGTAGTTATTGTACTTCAGCCTCTGGTGTCTCATTAAATTGTTCATTTTGTTAAATACTGGTCAAGGCTGTCTTAATTTGAGCAGTCAGTAACAGAGTGTTTCCCCACACATGAATATTTGGCAAGAGGGAACAAAGTCAAGCGTTTTTCTAAATGCACACAGCAATAAATAGGTTAAAGTTTATAGTCCAACTCAACGCTAACACTCAATGACCAGAGTGTCCTGATCAAACAACACCTCTGACGTAAAATGTCATTTACTTATAGATTTTTATCAGCTGTTCAATCTGTTGCAATGCCATCTTCACAAGATATTCAAATAAAGAACCAATCAGAGCACAGCAGGGAGGGTGTGTTAGCTGCTCTCCATTATGACTGGCTATGCGCCTGGGAAGGCAAAATATCTCATGAGCATATGCCCTTTTTCCCTGGTACACAGTCATTTATGTAGAGGTTAAACAGTTTATGACTCTTGGGTAATGTTCACTAAATCTTGCCACAGGTGAAGCATTAGTCACATTTCCCTGAACTTTAACTCCCTAGAGTTACACAATCAACCCACTTTTTTCCACAGATGAAAGAATTTGCTGCTAGTACAAATAAAGGACATTCTTTCAGTCTGTTGTGGGGTAAATATGGTGACAAGTTTCCAGATCTAAGAATGTGGTTACAAGCTCTGTTGTCTCATGAAAAAGTAAAATGAGTAATGACTTGTTTGACCCAAAGAACCACAACATTAAAACAAAAAAAATGTACATATGTATGTCAGTTTAGGCCGCTACTTGAGTGCTTTCAGTACAACCAGTACAAAGAGCATTGGAAAGGCAACTAGTGCCTGAACTGAGCTGAGCTGAAGCCCCTCAACAAGTTATAAGTCACTATATTGGTCCTTACCTGCATTAGCACTTTGAGGCGATCCAGTGGGGCAGTGCATGTCCGGGATACGGCTCCAGCACCTCCACCTGCCACCAGGTGCCTCCACCACATGCCAGTCAAGTGTTCCTCTGTGGTGAACTCATCTGGCACCATCAGGTTCTCACCCACATCAAAGATCTATAGACAGAAAAGACTGCAACTTAACAACAAGGCTTACATTGTGTTGGCTACTTCATGGCCCAGACTAAAACCAAAGATTAAATCAAATAATCTAAAACTAAATATTAAAAATCACAATTTGAATTTATGATACAGTGTGGCCAAAAAATCAACTGAAGTGTAATGACGGACAGTTTTGGCCACTGCTGAATGTGCATCAAAGGGGGTTCTGCTCGCATGACCTGAACCTCGAGACCTTTTAGGATTGCAAATATCATGTCAGCTAAAATATCAGGGACACCAGATTTATCTGTGACATAGTAGGGCAGCTTGGCCAGAAAAACCTTGCTGGATTTCGTAACAGATTACAAAACTGTGCAAGACCTCTGCTTTGTAGTCCGAGTTTGTTCTGTATTTGCCCGAAGGGCAAAGGCAACAGTTCATCGTTCTAATAAAAAGGCAAATTGCATAAGAACCTATATAGGTCAATGAGTAGGTTAACATGGCTATAAAGTAACAAGGATCAGAAGCAGATCCAGCTATAAAATTCATTTTATACACAGAGACCACTTATCGAGCTTCTATGAATGAAAGCACAGATTTAAAAAAAAAAAAGAAAAAGAAAATCTGGTCCCCCTAGAAGACAGGTTTGTGTGACAAAAATTGACCCTCAGTAAGCATTCTTTCTCAGATAGATTTCAATGAATATATGTCTAGGGCAATGTCTAGTCTGTCAAGCATACACTGAGATAGGAGGCATTACATGCAGACTGCTTGTGTAACCTGGTCTCATGTTTAGTTGGGGTACAGAAGGCACTGAGTACATTGCCCCTTGACAGTTGCTTGGCATGTGTGCTTGGCAGCACTGAGACTGTATTTAATGTATAAATAGCAGAAAGCTCCAGCTTGGCAGGTTATGTGGCAGAACAGGCACTCAGACTGGCTAAGATTCAGTGGCTGTTATTCTACACCTTTTAAGCTGGACTCGGTAGTCCTAGATCAGGATGTCCCAAACGACTGCAGAACATGCTATTTTTAGATGCTCTGCTATAAATCAGACTGTAAATGTCCAACTGCACCAAGTTTTATAGTTTCTTAAACTGGAAAAACAATAGACATGAATAATTCTCACAGTCCAAACAAGGACCGAGGTTATGTCTATAAAATTATTCTCATTAGATTTCTAGGCGTTTCCAATGCAATCTCATATTATATTTAAAAAGCTAGCCATCATATTACACAGTCACATCAAGAGCAATAGCATTTGAGGAGTTGCACATCATTACTGAACAGACAGGAGGGTCTATCTTACTGTGGAGTGCTTCCAGTAGAGGATGATTTCTGGAATGTTCTCTGTAGGCTGCTGTGAGGGGTACCTCTTCCATTCATTCCAGTCAATGGTCATTGTTCCATTTTTGTCCATGCTATGGGGCAAAAGAGAGGCAATTCAAGAAATGTACAGAGCACACTGGTAAATAATCTTGAGCTTGGCAACAAAAAAGGTTGTAAAGGCCCAGAACCCAGTTGTGTTTGGTATTTTCTATTTGTTTGGTATATTTATATATAGAATTTTTTTTACCACAGGGCTTTTCACATTTTGAGCACAATGGTCAAGAGAGTACTTCAGGGAATATTATATATATATATATATATATATATATATTATATATTTATTTTGGTAAGAAAGGACAGGTCACTCTATGCTTACACAGAAACAGGAAATAGTGGCTGAACATCTTTAAGCACAACACATTCCAAAGGACAAGGAACAGACAGCTCACAAACGCAGACAGTTACGCCTTTAGCAAGGCCCTGGCGGAACCAAACTTGGCACAACCATCAAGATTACAGTGTGAGGAACCAAGGTCATTTTCATGCTAACTGGGCCAAGCCTTAGACTATAAGGCTGCATTCTTCTCAATACCTGGAACGAATGAAAACGTTTTTTGGTGGCTAGAATTTAACCATCTTTTACACTCACCTTTTAAGAACTCTTTCAGCCTGCTGAAGGGACATATGAACACCAAGCTCTCGCAGTGACTCCACAATCTCATGTGCACTGGCTTTACCTACAGATGGACCAAAAAGGGACAAAAGTGACACATTCACATGTGCTACACAGAAAAACAGACCTGTTTTGACACATTACCAAAGGTTTCTCTTTGTAAATAAGAGTGAAATCATACCAGCATTCTTCTTATCCAGACTTTTAAAGACCAGTTTCAGATCTTTTTCGTGGTCCTGCAAGTAGTGAACAAATTCTTCAAAGTCCAGTTGCCCATTCAAGTCTTGTTTTTCTGTTTTTGCCATTTTCTGTCAAAGACAACACATTACACAAACTGTTAAGACATCAGGCTATTCTACAGTTTTATCAAAACATTGGGTCACATGAATAAAGACCTTGGGAGGACTGTATGAGCTAACTTATGAAAAAGTACAGACATTTCAGGTTGGAAATCAAGCAGTTTAATAGTATAGACTTGGCTTTCTAGGACAAACTCTAGTCCAACTTATTTTAATGAAAGCAAACATAACTAAAATTGATCTGAAACCACGTGATAGGACTTTTTTCAGCATTTTCACTGCTCTTCAAACTTAAGAAATGTACACATTATTTCCTTTAATGAACCTCAACAGTAATTTTAAATCACCAGCAGGAAATCCAATACCATTAGTGACTACTGGACACCACCATTAACCAACAGAAACTTTTAATGGTTTCTATGATTTGTTTTCAGCAGGGTTATGATAACCCACATTTTGTTAAATTGGGACAAGGCTGATTATGTTCAGGACACAGTAGAGTCTCAAAGTCATGCTAGTATCTCTCCTCCCACCAGACGCAGCACTTTGCTTGCGTATCTACAAGCAGGCCGAGTCCAAATATGAGCACCATAAACGAATGAATACTTGTGTCAAACTGATCAGGGATCACACTTTTATACGGAAGTGCTCGGTTAGAACATTTCTCAACACATTTTACACATTAAGACTAAATAAAAACCAATCGAGAGTGACAGCTCGAGCAAAACCGCCTTTTTCAGGATGTGCAAATCCTTATATGGACACTACAGAAGCGCGCGCGCAGGAAGTAGAGCAGGAAAGCCATCACTGCCTCGTGACTAAAAAATGAGTAACGTTATTTCACACAACTATTCACGTTACGTCACTCACTTTAAAGAACTTTAAAAACGTTGAAGCTGGATTAAAGCACGTTTGTGTGTAACACTGTTTGAACACAGATGTAACACTGAGCGTTTCTGGTTCCTACCTTTCTCCATTTTCGGTAGGTTGAGAATTCCTGTGAAGGCAGAAGGACACTCAGCTTGAAGAGCGACTTCAGCTCGGAAGGTAATCCGTTTGACTCGAAATACTCCACTTCGACCGGGTCGGAGTTGGGGACGGGTACGTACAGGCACAGGCACAGCATTGTGTCAGAGAAATAAAACGTATACAATAAATAAATAATTCAAAAGAGTTTTCGCCTCTCGGCGGTGAAACGCTGAAATGCCGGTGAGGAAGTTGCACAACGCTAAAAAAGACCCAGACCACTCCTACGTTACGCATTTTCGAAATAGAGAGATTTCATTGGCTGCCGCGGCCAAGGCGTCCGTCACAAGGCATCTGACCAATCAGAGCGCCGTTCCATTGAACAGAGAAAAGGCTCGTGCGTAAATGTGCGCTTAGCCCCGCCCTTTCCCTGAAATCAGAATCCAAAGTGAGTGCTGTGTCCCCACTGCGCTCGGTACAGTTCAGCCTTCCTCAAGCACGTCTGACTCGACTCAGCACACGGGCAGGGGTGGAAAAAGTACAGCGAAACTGTACAGTGAGTGTCTCATACAAAAAATCTGAATCAGTTAAAAGTGGAAGTTCACTCAAAAGCTCAAAGTGTTCTACAGGTTATAGTACCAAAAAGGTTCTGTGACTTGTACCAATAGTGGAACCCTTTTGGTACTACATAATATCATTTTTCAAAAGGTTCTTTAACTATATACAGCAAACACTAAATCATGGTGAAGAGCCATTTAATTATACAGAGAACTACTTCAGCATTTAAATTGGTAATTGTTAAATTGGTTAAATTGGTAATGTGTGTCCATTGTCTTTACCAAAGAATCTCGTTAAAGGGTGTGTTCCTTGCACAAAGGCAAATTAACACAGTTGTGGGCAGTTTCTGTTTACACTGATATGAATTTGGCAACATATTTTAAGAAAACAATTTTAATAAAAAAAACAAACAACAAATTAAAATGCATGGGAATTCATCTGGTTGGCAAAAGACAAAGAGAATTCTCCTGCTCTTTAATACTTGTAACACACACTTTAAAGGCATAAATGAAAATGTAAGGCGTAAAAATATGTTTTTTCCTCCTAGGGACATGGGGAGCCTGTTAATTGGTGAATGAGTCCACTAGATAATGCAAAGCACAAAATGCACACGATGTGGTCCTGCCGGTCAGCGCGGCTAGGTCATCATATTGTTTCAGGGGTAGATCCAAAGCACCTGTAGTGCTTTTTGCCCCAGTTCCATACACACCTGCATCATGGTGGTGGCCGCTGTCCAGCTGTGATGTATGCAGCGCGGAGCCCATGGCAGATGCTACAATATCACTAGCTTCTATATATTTGGTGCTAAAACATGATTTTCCATTATACCAGTTATTTTCCCTAGATTCGCACAATGATTCTTCTTCTCCAAATACAATTCATTTTAAATACATAATTACAGTTTTAGCTCTGAAAATAAGACAGTAGCAAACTGTACAGATTATTGGTATGCACAAATTAATGAAGTACTCATTTTTTTAAATAAATAGGATGAAAAAATGTAAATATTTCTGAAATTATTGTTGGTGGCTTTGTAATACTTCATCTTAATGCAAACCAGTCAGTTATAGAGGTATAATTATAAAAGAGGGTAAAGGAGAATAGGTGCTCATGTCAAAACTGGCTCTCAAAGATTTAAAGCACATTCTAAATAGTTGAACTTCTGGTAATTAATGTGAATACCATTTCTTTTGAAATCATGTTTAAAACTTAAAGGGCCTATATCATGGAAAAAACAAATTTTCCTTTTTTTTTATTAAAAGAGTTTGTAAGCACTATTAAAAAGACACCATTTCCTTCTCAGTTGATGCAGTCCATATATGGAAACTAGGCTGCAAAAACAGGCTGTTTTAAATTCATTGTTTTTTGTAATGTATTCAACTATCTACAGAAGTTTAGCTCTGCCCCAGCACTGAAGTTATAAAGAATGTTTCAGCCCGGATTGTTCTTTGACTGAAGCACAATACAGGGCAGCCAATCAGAGCAGAGTTCATTTACATATATCATAAGATATATACATATATCTTAAAGGTACAGTAGCAAATACAGCCTGTTTATTTCTAATGGATAAAAAGAGGTTGGAAACTGATCATGTAAAAATGAATTATTACTGTTATTGGTACATAAAACCAGACAAGTGGTCAAACAAAATAAAATACATGGAAAATGCAGGATGCGGGCCGTTTAAAGTGAATTATCCCAGTCTATACTGAGTGGATTAGTAATTGTTTCAGTTGATCTGTTATTTGTCACATATACTGGTATTGCAATTGAGAGGACAAAGATTCAGTTCTGGACCTTGTTACTTTCTAAACATCAGAGCAGCAAATTCCAGTCCATGATTGCAACAACACCATCTTATCTTTTTATCCTGCTTGATTTATCTTTGGAAATAGCAACAAAATTCTACACGACTCACTCTCTGCAAACTATTGCAATGATACAAGCGCAAGCTTGCAAAAGCAGATGACTGACATTTGAGCCCCGAGATCTCCTGAAACTAAGTATAGCCAAATATCACACTTAGGATAACCGGCCACATGACTGTAATGAGCTCTAGCAGGAGGTTTGGAAAGTCGTTTGGTTGCTCTTATTACATCAAGCAGTGTCATCCTGGAGCAGCGTCATTCGGTTGTGGGCCATGTGTTACAGCACCTGAACAAATGACAACCCAACCTGCTTCAGAAGATTCTTAACTGGCTATTTATACCATCAAAAAGGACTCCTAAATATGACTTCTGGCTGTACCTCATCTCTGGATGATGAGTGCCTTCTCATTCACCCCAGTTAAATTAGAAGCCAGTTTATCATGTTCTTGAATAATGTGGTGAACAGAACATTCCACAGACCTTTACTTTTTTGCATTAGGAATATCTTTTCTACTGTAATGACCGTATTTGCCAAATGCAATGAAATGTAGTGAGTAAATATGCGCTGGTGTTATTTAAACAGGGGCTGTCACTATGGATTACTATAGTAATTATTGATTATTTTGAAAAAATTATTGAGTCATCAGAGCTTCTTGTTTTTTTTTAATGAATACATACAATTAAAAACTAAAATACAAAAAAAAAACTAAAAGATTCCAAAATTCCACAATACTAACCCTTTTTCACCATAAAACACAGTTTCTGTCTGTTTTGGAGGTCCTTCAGTTTTTGCCACATGAACTTTTTTCTTCAATAACGCTGATGGAATGGTGAGCGAGCAAGTCAGCATTTATAAAACTGTAGATATTGTCTTTAAATACTTTTTTACTGTGCCAGTTGTATACAAATGTTTTGATATGATGAAAGCTGTGGTTGTGCTGTCTGTTTTTATCTCTGGACAGTCATCTTTGTGGAGAAGAGGGTACTGTTTTCACAGCAGGGGGTTCTCACTCCTCTTTTAAGCCTCATTGCTCGCTAGCAGGTCAACACACAGTTATAACATTTCGCACACGGACAGCTAATGATATCCTAGTTAATCTGATAACAAAGATACATGGACCGCATAAATATAAAATCAGAGTCAATTTACATTCTCTCAGTGGAATAGTCACTAAGGGGCCTGCAAAAAGATGTTAATGGAAAAAGATAAAACTAGAAAACCTTCAAAAAAGAGTATATTCTAAAAAACATATTAAAATCCTATGTTGGAACACTATGTTATTGTTCAGTGTCCTTTAGGATGTTTATCACTATTAGATAGAACAGTAGGAGAATTAAAAATATGTGTTATCTTCATGCCAATTGCCGACTAACCATTTTTAATTCATTAAGGTGGTAAATTTTAATTGTGTTATATGTTTTTTTTAAGGATTAATTGGGACACCCCTAATTTAAACTCTTATCTTTTCACACGTTGTCCAGGACTGTCACTCCTGAATGCAGTCATTGCTCCCCTCATTAATCATTCATCTTATAACAGGACAGCAAGGAAGGAACATCTTTAGCTCCAAGACATAAACCGTGCATTTAGAACATGTTCTTCTCATGTTCAGTCTCTCATTTGAAACATATTGATCCACTGTATGCAAGCTACGTGCATATCTCACAGCACTCTTGTCAAAAGGTCATGTTCCAGGATCACCTGCATCACTAACTTAGGGGGCTTGTTTTGATCTATTGTGAATTACGTCTGAGAGCAAGTGCTCTGATAACCCTTACTGGGGTTCATTTGGCAGTGAAAAACAGGATGTACGCTATCTCCTCTCTCTCCTGTTTTACAGTGTATTGCTAGTAAAGTGCTGTCAGCAACAATGACTTCATTAATAGAACACTAGAAACTAGTTTACGTCCATTTTACCGCCCTTTGGCAACACTGTTCTCCTCATAAGGGAACAATTCTGTCTTATAAGTGCTAAGTGGCATTGATTGGTGACATCATTAGTTGGATTAATGCTCACATTAAGCAAAACAAAAATATTGCATGAGCTTTAATTAATTATGCCATACATTTACATTTAACCATAGAAGAGCAGAGTTAGCACATTATCACTGTCCTAACAACACCATGTATCTCTTTATTTAACTTTCAGTGAAAACAGCCTTTAAGCAAACTATTAATCTTTCTGTAGATATATCTGGAAGGATTATATATAAGACAATCCACTTGCATGAGGAAGGGGAAAGTCAAAGTAAGTAAGTGAAAAAACAAGAGTTTAAAACTTATAGAGAAATTGGGACTCCCAACAACCATGCAGGACCTGGTACACCTAAAAAGACTGTCACCATCAGACAAACAAAATGTAAAGCTTTCATCTTTGAGAAAAAAAACAAGCTCCACTCTTGCTTCAAATCTGAAAGAACCCACCGGTATTTCTGTTGATCCTTCCACTGTGTAAAGACAACTCACTATGAGTCTGAAAGGATGTGTAGCTGTTAAGAAGATGTTACTGAGAAAAGGTAATAGACAAAGTAGAATATTTGAAAATCAAACAATCAAACTGCTGCTGTTCTCAGAACAACAGACTAACCACCCCAGAGTCCAGAACTCAACATCACTGAATATGTTTGGGATTATTGGGATATTATGAAAAAAATGTGTTCTCTGCTTTCTTTCCTGACAATGAAAAATGAAAAACACATACTTACTGGCCATTTTGGCTGGAAAATTAAAAAA